GATGTAACCAAAGCCTTGCAATTCTCATTCAAATCTGAATCTTCCCTACCGCTTTAGATGAAGGTGAGGTCATTGGATATCAATGTGAAATTGGCCACAACACTTTGAAGCTCGTGAAGCAATTTAATTCTTTGTACACATTTTTGACTGCGTCTTGCAACTGCTCATTCTTTTTTGTTTCCATGTCATTTTGACACAAAGTCAGTGTACGCTGCTTCTATTGACTTAACATATTTATGAGAAGATACTTCTGACCAATATATCTGTACATGATCGGAAAATCCAAACGGAAAAAACAACTTAGAAACATCACCGGCAAACGCACAAGTCAAATTATGCACAAACACAAGCAGGCACATCGAAGATGTCATGAGCAAACACAGGAGATCAATGTAATGGTAAGTTAATGCTTTTCGTTGAAAGAAGTTGGGGAATTGCCTAGCACCTCGTTTCCGACATCGAGTAATGTCGGTACCGCTGCAGCGAGATCATTACGATTGTGAATGCGATGAAAACCATAACCTGGAATAAACTGATGTTGAACGATTGAGCAAAAGTAGGAGAGACCTACAGATATCATCCCAGCCAAAAATATGACAAAGGGATTGAAAGGGACACAGATCTCGTGCACGGGATACGATGTTTTCTCGTGGCAAGTCAGCTCCACTGAGTGTGATGCTTCCGCTTCAACGTCGGAGATGACACCTATACGATTCATGTTAGGTAAGACTAAAATCTTTGGTTATAGAGGCTTACCCAGTTCTGAAACCTCTATGCGCTGCGTCTGGACGTCGACGCTGATGCTAGAATCATTATCATAGCTCCTTCTGCAAAAATGATATTTCAAACAATGTGAAAGCAGTTACACCAAAAGACAACCTTGTCCGATTCAAGTTCTGATCCAAGCATGTCGGTATGTCGCACATTCCATTTTTAGGCGGCATCAGTAGCAGTTCACATTCAAAGTATATGAGAGATGTTTGAGAAACGCCAAAAACGCTGACGTTCTGCCCAACCATAGTCTGAAAAGATTTCTAATAAAGAAAAAAGTTTATTTCTCTTCACCTTGGTAATTCAAGAATCAGCCTCTTCAAAACAGTGCATTTTCTATATTCAGCAAAAGCATTCAAAACATATTCTGATGCTATCGCTTTATGTACTGCCTGCTTAGAATCATTACGATGCTAATGATCGTATTTTATCTTTCCATTCACGATCGAGGTACAAAAACGTTTAATATATGCGTTTCATATATGCCATGTTCGATTAGAGAAGATTGTTCAGCCATCTCCTGTGAACTCAAAAAGTAGTA